TCGGTTTACAACCGAGACATAAGAGGAAGACTTTTTACCTCGTCCGTATATGCCTCGGTTTCTCAACCGAGGCCTATGACCAAAAACAACCGAGGCCATTTCCTTCTACTGTATAGTGTCATTTGTAGAGATTAGTGATCTAAAGAACATTTTGCACACATGGAGTATGGAAAAGCTTATATACTGTGAAACAGGAACGTGCTTGAGGTGCATGAATGGTAGAGACATTATTCGAAGCAGAAATGGACCCTATGAAGATATATGGGGAGAGGATGAGATAGCATCTCTTGCACATTTGCCTTAACCTTCTGAGGCTGAAAGGTTTGCTACTAGACATGTAAGAGTGCTACCGTTCCTGAAAAGAATAATGTACAACTCAAGTTGATGAAGAGTAGCTACATCATCATAGTTAATTCTCTAAGTTATTTTGGATATTGTTTTATTCTACTACATCCCAGGTTAGAGAGACACAAATATAAATATATCATGTTTATGTTTTTTTTTTTTAAAGAAAGTGTTGAAATAATGTTTCTTTACATGTGCCGCTCACAATATTAAAGAAAAATAGAGAAACTGAAATGTATAAAATGTAAAACTTTAATAGTTATAAAGAATCGTTCATATTATTACAAATGTATAAAAAAATAAAAATAAAGACTTTATAATGTTTTTAGTTCCTCTGGTGATATAATTTGGAAATGATTGGAATATAAAAGAAACTAAAAACGAAAAAGAAATTATATAATATTCTATTCAGAAACCTTCTAATGATTATTTCTTTTGCAATTTGAGAAATCTTATTGTGTGCAGGCCCCTCAGAAAACAAGTGTCTTGCCCCTATCTTTTTGTGTTAGACAAGTTCCATATATAATATTCTCATGTTTAGAATAAAACATAGATATAATTTTTTAAGGTGTTCGTATTGTCACCTTTTTATAAAAGAGAATGTAAAAAATTTGTATTTGAAATCTTGTCTATTTCTCTTTTTAATTCTGACAATCCTTTCGTTAAATATAAAGCAATCCAATTCTACCCAAAAATTTCATATCAAATAATTTAGGCTGTTTTGGTGAGATATTTAAATGATTAGATCATTGCATTTTAACAACTAGTTTTTAATGTAGTACAAAAATTGCGTACAACGTTGAATATTTTAGATTTTTAATGGCGAATTTGCAAACGGTATGTATCAGGAGACGTTAAATTGACGTCGAATTTTTTAAAATTCGACGTTAAATTAATGTCGAATTTTCCCAATATATGATATTAAATTAACGTCGAATTTTGTCAATATTCGACGTTAATCAATTTTTTTTCTTTTAATTAATTGTGATCCCTTTTTACAAAAAAAACAAAAAAACAACAAATTTCAGTTTTTGGTATTTTATAAAGCATGAACTACGGACGTGTAGTGTAGTATCAACAACAAACAATAATTACCAAGAACAAACAAATTCAATCAAACAAAAACAACAAACAACTTCAACCAAACAAGAACAAAAAACAAGTTCAACAAAAAAAAAACAACAAACAAGTTCAACACATAAGTTCTTCAAAACGAAAACAAAAACTAACCTTCAAAAGGTGGGTTCATCGGAATAAAGTTTTATCACCAGAAAACATAATGTACCTATGAAGGACAAGAGCACGAAAATAATCGGTTAAAACAAACAAAAATCATACATAAAGTAGTTAATAAACCTGCATTTGTATCAAATGAAAGAATGATTACATGTGATGCTCGTCAAACTTCGTTCGAGAAAAGTTTGAGAAGAGAAGAAGATATCGCGTGCTAAGATAAAGTGAATGAATTTTCAATCTCCTGCTCAAACTTTTATTGAATTCACTAACCTTTTGACGTCGAATTTAAAGGACATTCGACGTTTTATATCTTTTTACGTCGAGTTACAATTCTAAGCGACGTTTAATAATTGCATTTATTTACAAAAATGTTACCACTCATTTTTAACGTTGGCTATTCAGTGGTTGGATGTTGAACGCGTGATGTTATATGCTGTTTTTGTACTAGTGTATTTTAATTTTTTTTCCTTCTTTATATTAATGTGAGTTTTACTTACATTACATGCCTTATTTACCAGAAAAAGGGGACACTAAGAAGAAATATTGTAATTTTGACAACTCATCACAATCATATAATTTAATTGAATAAATGCTTCTCAGTCTCTGGTTATCTTTATTAGACATTCTTATTGCAAATATGTGACTTCATGGAGACTTTACAAAAAGAAGCCACAAATTTCTTACTTGTCAGCTTAATCGTGACATTAATCATATAAAGGAACCATATTTGTCACTTTTAATTATAACAATTCAAATTTTATTCTATGGTATATCATCAAAATGACATCCTATTATTAAAAAGACTTAAATGCTTACTTTGTCTCCCATGTTACGAGATGAATTTCTGTTTAGTATCCGGTTTTAAAAATGAAGACATTGGGTCCCTATGTTATGAAAAATATGAGTAAGGTCAACAATGAAAGAACAAGTTCAACAAATCATAAAAGAAAAAGTTGAACAAGAGAGAGAAAAAGCTGGACAGCAGAAGAGAGAAGAGAAAAAGTACGGTAACATCAGCATGAGCTTAACGTCGTTGCTATCAACTTAACGGACAAGACCTTATTCATACACTTTTCATAACATAGGAACCCAATGTCTTCATTTTTAGAACCGAGTATTAAACATAAATTCACCTCTTAACATGAGGACGAAATAAGCATTTAAGCCTATTAAAAACTATTTTAGTTTCGGACTTGTTAATGCAGAATAATACAAAAATATAATTAGATCTCAATTTTATTTGTAAGAAAAATACAAGGTATGTTAGAAATTAAAGTTTCCTTCAAAAATTTTGAAAAAAAAACATTCTACTTTTACAACTATAAGTTTTATGCTTGGTAAATATCTTAGAAAATATTCATTTTACAAGTATAAGTTTAATGCTTGGTAAAAATATATTTGATAAAAAAATCATTTTGAATTTGGAAATCTATTTAGAAAACAAAGGTTTTGAATAATAAAAATTTGAGCCTTTTTAGTATGAATAATTTAACATTTGATTAATTGAGAAAAATACTTAAACATTAAACATTGAAACTACAATGAATTACTCACTTAATGATACGAACAATGTAATAACTTAAAATGTTTCAGGATAATTGTCTTAGATATACATAAAGTCAAAAGTACGAAGAGAGAATGCTAACTTGAATGTTCTAAAAATAAAAAGAAAGAGAAAAATGTAATTTGAATGTTTCTTATAAAACAAAATTGTAAGTCAATTAATAATTCAACTTAACCACTAGTTCATGGGAAATATTTAACAAAAACTCAATTATAAATTTTGAACAAATAGATTGACTTGAAATTTTCGTATAGATATAAATTATTTCATAAATGTGAAATGACATAAAAGATAACATTACATAAATATGATTACTTAAAGGAAATTATTTTTTAAAATGAAAAGATATTGTTATGTAATATGATTTTAATTAAAATATGTAAAATCGGATTGATGTACAAACATATTAAAAAAAAATCAATTATCAATGAATTTAGTGATAAATTTTAAAAAAATTATATAATTGACAAATATTATTATAAAATAATCAAAGTTTAAAGTAAAATATCTAACACTCATTTACCTAAACTAATTTATAAATATCTATTAATAATAAAAAATTTAAATTTATTGATGAATTTTGTTTTATTGAAAAATATTTTTTCATTAATAAAATTAATTATTAATATGTTATTTCTTTATAATAAAAAATGTACTCTATTTAAACAAATCCAATAGATTACAAATATTCTTTAATTATTAGACTATGATAAAATATGATCAAATTTCATAAAGATAATATATTAAAAGAAAAAACTAATAAAAAGACAACAACTTTACAAAACTACTTCTGATAAACGAATTGATAAATATAAAATAAATATAAAATGATATAAAATAATAAAAGTTTTGTTATAACTATTTTTTAAACGAAATAAATTTCTATGTATTATAATTTTAAATCTTTTAGAGAAAATTAAACTCTGATAGAACTTATAGTGTTTAAAAAGAATTGTATAAAATCTTATTTATTTAGATAAATAATTTTATTTTAAATAAATGATTTAACAAATGTTAATTAAATTTAAACTTTATTTATTTTATAATTTATATTTTTCGATTATGTAAAACTGTAAATATGTAATCATAGATAAAATAATTAAAAATGATAAAAAAGTATATTAAAATATAAACATAATAATAAAGAAAAAGGTTGAAGAAGATATGAGATAGAAATTAAATAACCAATCTCATTAAATAATCAATCCCACATCAGGTTTTGATAAAAGTGGAAGAGGGGAAATGGCAGCGCAGTAACACTTTGAGATCCAAATTCGAATCATGCCAAGATTGCCAAGACTACTACTCCGAGGAGCACCACCCCGCGGGGCCGGAAGAAACTTTCATCGACGCTGCAAAACCTAAAGAGTGCTTAGGAGAAGCAAGCGAGAAACCTTAGAGAAGGAGTTAGAGACTTGTTCTGTTATTATAAAAAAGTCGTGACTGAGAAAGTGCACGTCAAACTGAGCCAGTATGGTAGTTCACTAAACGCCGCCGTTGCGGTTCTGCTGGAGGAGAGTGACTTCCGCTGTTGAAACTTGTTGACAGATCCACTACAGATTGAACGGAGAGGTTGGTAGCAGCGCAATCGTGCTGGCAGAGCCGTGACCTACGCCACTGTGAAGAGTAGTGTGTTGTTTGCGGGACGGAAAGTGACTTATGAATATACCTCTGTATTAGAGGACTACTCCGAGTCGTGTCTTTGGTGTTGGAAGGTGATTGAGAATTTTTGCTTATCTTGATTCCGGTTCATGTTTATTACATTAAGTATTCAATCGTATAACATGCATTCTAGATCTAGGACTTGGTCATTCAATTCTAATTGAGACTTTTTTATCGGTGATGCAGACAGGGATTTGAAATTGTTGACACAATCTGTTCGAGGAAAGCCTGGTGTTCGACGCATGTGCCGGAGTCGACGCATGTGCCGGAGAGGATCATGATAGCATTATTGCGGTCTCTGGTAATGTGCTCCCTACTAGTGTAATTAGTTTTGGTTGTTGAATGTATTTTGATTATAATTAATTAAATTATTTATTTTTCTTGAAAGCAAGAATGTGAGATTTTATTCTCGCTGTTGGTAATGTGACTTTCTTTTTGTATTGTAGCCATAATTTAAGTTAGTAGTTGGTGTTTCATTACCTTTCCATGAGTTCTTTATTTGATCAAGTTTTGGGAATGAGATTGTTTGCTTATTTACTATTTTTTTTTTCAGAAATGATAGAAGCTCTGTAAGGGCTAAAGAAGACATCGACAAAGCTCAGTAAAGGTATTCCTGAGGCAGATATCCGCTCGTTAGTGGATAATTTGATGCAGAAAAATAGTGAAGCCATGTGCATAACACTTCCTAACATAATTTGGTCTGTGTCTCAAATATTCAAATGCCTATGATGATTGATTTAATTTTGTAACATATCATGGTAGGCAATCCATAAGTCTCTTCCCCACAAACAACATGCTAGTCTTTACAGTGGCGTAGGTCACCGGCTCCGCCAGCACGATTGCGCCGCTACCGACCTCCTCATTTAATCTGTCATGGATCTGGTCAACAAGCTTAGGCGAAAGGTCACTCCCCTCCAGCAGAATCGCGATGACGGCCTTCCGTGAACCACCGCATTGGCTCAGTTTGACGTGCACTTTCTCAGCCACGACTTCCTTTAGCGGAACAAGGCGTCGAGCTCCTTTTTTTAAGGTTTCCGCTTGCTTCTCCTCGACACTCTAATATATGACACAATGACACATTTGTTCATAATTGTTTATTTGATTAATAACATGTCATTTATGTCATACGTTATTATTATAATGTTGTTACTATCAATTTGATCAACAAAAAAAACTATATTAACTTGTTATTTTTTAAAATGATACTAAATTGAGAAATTAAAATAATGAAAAAAAAAATATCACCATAGTAACAAAACAGGAAAAATTATTTAACTTTTATTTTATTATATTATAGATGAATGTACATGTCATATAGTTGCGTTTTATACAAGATAAGTAGTACATGTTCAATTTTGAAGATAGACATTACATGTTTAATATTAATGGAAGACAAAGCGAACCTCTCTTTATAGAGAATTAAAAAAAGCCAAGAAAAAAGCAACACCATTACTTCAATATCATGGCAAAGATAAGAGAATTGGATTCCACCCACATTAAGCATAAGGTAAATAGTTCTTCACGTGAGTGATTAGTTTGTGTATTTATACAGTCCCTTAGGAACACAATAATATGCAGTGTAAGTTCAAAAGTGGTCACACTGAGATATCTTTAGGTTCATCATCAAATCGAAGCAATAATCCATTATCGTTGTGCAGGTCTATCTACTGTCATTTTCAATTTTCATGCTGCTTTTGTTCATTAATTATTCATTACTTTCATGCAGCAGCTTGATATGTTTAATATGTATATAATATATAAAGCTAACAACACTTCCAATTAGTTTTTTATATGTGAAATTTTAAAATATGCTCATGAAAAAGATTATATAGGAAACATGGACAAAAAGGTTGTCACAGTATATGAAGATTAAAATGTTAGTTACCTTTATTTCCTTTTATGTTTGAATATTAGCTCAAATAGGCTGAGTTTATGAGAGAATGCTATAACATGATTCATTCCATTGATATCCAAAGCGCGTGTTGTGTATTTTTATTCGTGTTCGATTTTGATATATCATATTAATGGATTTCTTTTAATTTTGTAGTTTTTACTAAATTTTGATGGTAAGTTATAATTGTTAAAAAGTAAACTTTAAATCTTATTATGTTACTGGACTTATGTTAATTAAATTTATGGTAGTGAAGTTTGTGTTGGTCAAAACTTATATTGATGAACCTCTTAATAATCTTGGATTTACACACTTTAAGAAATCTATTTTGTTTGTGATTTTATGAAATTATTTCTTCTGCATTTTGAGAAATCTAATTCTGTGCAGGCCCCTCAGAAAACAAGTGTCTTGCCCCTGTCCTTTTGTGTTAGACAAGTTCCATATATAATATTCTCATGTTTAGAATAAAACATAGATAGAATTTTTTAAGGTTTTCACCTTTTTATAAAATAAAATGTCAAAAATCTGTATATTGAAATCAAGTCTATTCCTCTTTTAATTCTGATAATCCTTTCGTTAAATATAAAGCAATCCAATTCTACCCAAAAATTTGATATCAAATAGTTTAGGCTGTTTTGGTGACATATTTAAATGATTAGATCATTGCATTTTAACAACTAATTTTTATGGTTTCTTGTATTTTAATTTTTTTCTTCCTTTCTTTATATTAATGTGAGTTTTACTTACATTACATGCCTTATTTAGCGAAAAAGGAGACACTTAAGAAGAAATATTGTAAGAAAAATACTAGGTATGCTAGAAATTATAGTACATGGCAGGTTAGAGATTTAGTTTCTAATATTGTTACTACAAGATTTTATATAACAAAACAATTGCACTTGTGCTCCAAGTTACAAATTTTGAGTTAATATATGTTTATATATATATATATATATATATATATATATATATATATATATATATATATATATTCTTAAGAAGTTTATGATTATGGAGGAGTATGATATCAATCTAGAAGGAATTATGATGTCTTTTATAAAAAAAAGAAATAAATAAAAGTGTAAGAACATTTTAATAAAAAATTATTTACTAACAACTTCTTAAAATATTCTCTCCATAGTTCCATTCAACTTCTTAACAACCAAAACTCCAGCCCATCGTAATCAATGGTTGAATACATAAGTCAATCAAAGACATTACAAGCTAAAACATTATACGTGTTCGTGTATTATTTGAATTTAAACAAGCATAATGTACCACAGCTAGGATAAATTTAATCTAATTTCTCCCATGCATTCCTTTTCAAACATTTGTAATGCAAAGAAAATCTGAAAAATTTATATATTATGTAAAAGGGTACAAGTATCCTATTTGTGAGTTAACTGTATTTAGGTAAGTTTATTGGTTGGTTTATGTAGAATTTTAAGTAGGTAGGTTAATAAACATACATGATGGAAATTAAAGAATTTTCACTTGAATAGGATTATGGCATATTCACGTTTTTTTCAAACATACATGATGGAAAAAGAAATAAAATAAAATTATATATATATATATATATATATATACGAGTCTTATAAGTTATCTCATTTTACTATAATTTTTTTTAATAACATTGATTTTAAAGCAACATATTTTTTTATAAAAATTATTTTAAAGTAAAAGTTTTATAAAGCGTGCATTATATATCTATAATTTTTGTTTATATTTCAATTTTTTTTATAATTTAATTATTATGTTGAGATTTAAAATTATTTTTTATAAAATTGAAGTTTTAAATTTAATATTTGGCTCTCGCCCAATATATGAAAAGATGCTATGAAATAAAAGAGTAGTTGGCAGTAAACCACGTAACCTTCTTCTACTCTTCCCATTCATCGTAAATGGGTTACAGTACTTAAAACCATAATTAAACTAAATGAAATATAGTATATTTAAAAATATGTTTATATAAGGCTAAGTATGTAACATCCGAGTCTTACACCGTAATAAAATAGTTTCTAAAAATAAAGCTAACTTACAGTTATCCACAAAATAACTATAAATTTAAATTTTACAAAAATTTACCATAACTTCAAAACTATATACATGACCGAATAGTCTATACATATTATATTTATATGACCGAACGGTCATAGACTACACCACTGGGTCTTCACCATCCCGTGCTTCCTCCAGCGAACAATCGCCTCCCTCTGTTCACACCCACAAGGTGATAATTGCAATTAAAGAGTACCAAACGGAAACATGAACAAGATAGAAAAGAAGGGTAAGCTAGAGTAATTTAATTTATTACAGTTATCATGCAAATTAAGCAAATACATAAGCACATGTCAACCGAACACTTTAAAGCATACAATGAACGACCATACATTACAAAAAGAATGACCGAACACTTTACTTGACCATCCGGATTGTATGAATATGTAGCTTGAGGTCGTTCGTGCACCCGGGTGATGTAGTAACGGGATACCCTCAGCTGCCACCTCGGGTTAGTCTGTTATAACTCACCTACGATACCCTATAGGCTAGGACCTCCTGCTATTCTCACGACATGACTTACCCATATCTACTTGAGACTTGGTAATCATTAGAATTTCAGGATGAACGCCGTGTATTTCGTTATCCATATTCATACTTTACCACCATGATAACCAGCACGAGATATCACTAGTGCAGTTAGGGGAAACGACAACGGTTATTTTTGCCAATAGGCAGCTTTTCCTGAACCGAGGCATATTCAGGCGAGGTAAAAATGGGTAGCCTTTTTGCCTCGGTTCTGAACTGAGGCATAAAAAGGTACGATTTTGCTTCGGTTCGTAACTAACCGAAGTAGTATCTTATTTGATTTTTTTATTTTTTTTTCGCAGGCATTTATGTCGCGGTTCATTATGAACCAAGGCTGTATGGTCGCCTCTATTGCCTCAGTTGGAACCATAATCGAGGCAGTAGGGTCTTTTTTTAATTTTTTTTTTGCTTAATCTGTCAGCCTTTACGCCTTGGTTGTGGCATGAACCGATGCTATATGGGGTTTTCTACTTCGATTATGGTCACAACCGAGGCATATTCCCCTGTTTTTTTTTAAAGAACAGGTCTGTTTCTGCAACATTCCGAATTATAGAAACAGACCTGCATATAATTTCACAGCCAGAACATATTACAGAAAAATCCAGAAGCATATATTTTGAATAAAAATTATATTAAAAGTTAAATACATTCAATGTAATCATAAATCAGTTTCTTAGAAGCATAAATCAATCCAATGTAATCATAAATCAACTTTGAAGCATAAATCAATCCAATGTACAAAGTTAAACTAATAATAATGTACAAAAACATAAAAAAACTTAGAAGCATAAACTTAGAACTTACTATATCCTAAAATCTACTACACACTATTATATAATTGAATTACATATTTAGCCAGTGCTTTCCTCACGAGTTTAAGTGACTTCTATGAAATTGGAGCAGTCATATTAAATCTCTACATAAAACACAATAATTTTAATTAGTGTATATGAAATCTAAACTATATAGAAAATAAAATTCAAACCTAAATATTACCGTTTGCCATCCACTGGTGTAATGTGCACGAATAGTGGCCATCATCCAAAACATGACGTAGTAACCATATTCATATGACCCCGTTTGTTTATTACACTATAATATATCATCATAATTATAAAATGTTAAGTAACATCATTGGAATGGAACATAATGTAACAAAGTATGGACTAAAATACCAAACCTTAAGGGAAACACATGCAAGCTTTTTAGATGTAGAAATAGATCTCCCAGATAACATCATATGTGTTGCAAGGGAACTATTAAAAAAAATTTCTTTAGCATACATTTATATAACAAAGACAGTTGAAACATTGAGGTTCTTACAAATCTACTACATGTCTAAGATGGCTGGGAGGAGACTTGTGTAATGAACAAAACCAGACAGTAGTGTTCTCCGGTATGGAGATCGCAAGTAGCTGCCAATGACGCCTGAAATTGATAATAACTTAATTCTCATATACCAAAATTAATAAATGAAACTTTAAAGTTAGCAAACTTCACTTACCTAAGTATATAAGGGAGAAAATATATCTTCTTCCCCATTACAAAGCAGCTGGTGATGTATGTTTGGATATCATCAAATTTATTTCTTTCATGAGTCATAGAGGGGTCAATGAACCCATATACATCATTGAACCCCTTCTTGTTAC